TATTTTCTTTTCCTCTTTCACTCTTTTTTCTCTCTCACTCTTTTTCTCTTTCTCTCTCACCTTAAGCTGGTGTGGTGCTATGGGCTCCGCCGAGAGGGTTTTGACGAATTCTCACAAGGAAATCCATAATTCATGACCGCAACGCTTCGCCATTACAGAAATGAGAATTTTCTCTCTTGCCCCTCCCACGCCATCCTAGCCCCCCCCCCCAGCCTATCCCCTCTTCCGCCATCCCCTCCCTATCCATCCCCTCTCCCTGGCAAACCATCTGTCCTCCCCCCACCACCTCATCACAATGCCCATCCCCCCTGTCCTAGTTTCCACTCCCCCGCCATCCCCCTCCCGACCCTTGCACCGTTCTTACTCGACATCCGGATTTTGAGGCATTGTTGTTCCGCAGGCAGACAAAAGACGCTACTTAGCAAGAACCCAAACACAGACTCCCACACACAGGCGTAAAGTGAACTCAAGTGTCCAATTGTCTTCCATTCCACGCCCTGTTGAGTAAATAGGATTTTATTGTTATTATTATTATTATTATTATTGCTGAATATATGGTTAACAAGGTTAGGTAGACTCTTATTTAACAATGCATTTACTGTGTAGAAGCATTTAAGCGTTTGGTAATAATTTTTTAAGTCCTTATTAGTTAAATCAAATTATAAAAAATCTATACCTATAAGAGAATGTCTTGTCCGTCTGACTGTCCAAAGTTGGAGGCCAGGCGCTTTGAGCTGTCTTCACCAAAATTTGTAGGGTGAATCGTCTGGGGTATGAGACGGACATAGGCAGGTCTGGAGGTCAGTGTAGGACTAAAGCAAATGCTTTAAGATATATAGCTCGTAACCCAACACCCCCGAGTTATTTTCATCAGTCTGAATTGAAAACAGGATTAAATTGGGGCTGCAATTGTCCGTAGAGTGTTGACGTTACTTCCGCCGTTTATCCTGAGCACTCCAGTTGCAAACTCTGTGAGCAGGAACTGCGGCACGATCTCCCGCACTACATCACTGAATGCCCAGTTATTAGACCTTTCAGACCAGTTGGCATGAGGTACCTGGAGCTCTGCAATTACTTTATTCATTCTCGTATTCTTGAAGATATCCTCACAGTATACCCAAAATTTGCCAGTGCAGGCTATTAAACACATGGCTCTGTATGACTAACCATCCTGCGAGATGGGGACTTGTATTACCACTGCTACCTTATTCAATCTTGTGGTGTTAATATCCTCAAAATGCATCCGGAGTCTGCCAGTGCAGACCGCTTATCACATGCCTCTGTATGACTAACCATCCTGTGTGATGGGGATTTTTTAGCATCACGTAGCTAGCTTTTTGACACTGTACTCCCCTTCGTATAGTCTAGGGCAGCTGCACAAATGCAGATGTACCTAAATGTGTTAATTAAAAAAAATACCCGCCGAGTTTCATGATTTACTTTGTGTATGAATGACACTTTATATATAGTCTATCTATTCGAGGTTTGAGGGGAGTGTAGGCACATGGGAGCGAGGGGGAGAGGGAGGAGAAAGGGAAGAAGAGGGGAAAAGTGGGAGATGGAAGGGACCAACGTCAACCTGTGTTGATGAGGACCGGTTGTTTAAAGAGGTGCGATATATACACAAGAAGTAATCAGTTGTAAATCAAATATCAACACATCCTTATAAACAAAGGCCTAATGCTCGTTAATCCAGCCGACAAATCCCCTGTTAATGATTGAAAAAAGGTTTACACACGATTCATAACAGATGATGTTCGAACATTTTTCGAATAGTGCTTCGCTGATCACCTCGGTTCGATTTGAAACGCAGTACATGCTTCGCCCACGCACTACAAACACAATTACTCGCTAACAAAACCTAAACACCTAACCTAACCTAACCTAACCTAACCTAACCTAACCTAATCTACGCCTAACCTAACCTAACCTAACCTAACCTAACCTAATCTACACCTAACCTAACCTAACCTAACCTAACCTAACCTAACCTAATCTACGCCTAACTATACATAGAACTTTAATATATATGAATTTTTATTTATGTGAGAACAAACGTATTTTTAATATATGTTAAAACTGATGAAAGCGTCTTGGGGGGAGGAGGGGGGTTACTGGCGGCTGCTTTAACGAGCTTGGCCTTAGGACGGGTTGACGTTATCAGTTATAAGTTGTGTGTAAACCGTTTTTCATTCATAAACAGGAGTGTGGCGTCTGGATTAACAAGAATCTGACCATAGTTTATGAGGACGGGCTGTAAAACCTTCCATAGAACCGAACTGGTTTGGCAAGGAAAGAGAGAGATCTATGTAGACGAATATGATCTGTCTTTACCTGCTGGCGACCATTGGTTCATCAGTGAAGCTTCTCAATGTTCTTGAGGTTAGGTTAGGTTATCTTGAGGTTATCTTGAGGTTATCTTGAGATGATTTCGGGGATTTTTAGTGTCCCCGCGGCCCGGTCCTCGACCAGGCCTCCACCCCCAGGAAGCAGCCCGTGACAGCTGACTAACACCCAGGTACCTATTTTACTGCTAGGTAACAGGAGCATAGGGTGAAAGAAACTCTGCCCATTGTTTCTCGCCGGCGCCCGGGATCGAACCCAGGACCACAGGATGACAAGTCCAGCGTGCTGTCCGCTCGGCCGACCGACTCCCGGGCGACCGACTCTTGATACGAAGGTGATAAAAATGCAGTAAATTATTCAGCATAAACTACAACAGCTGAAGCCAGAGGAGCTGAGGCACAAAGACGATAGCGAAGACCTGAGTTAAGATTGTGTTGTTGAAGGCTGCAACTATTTGGGTCATGTCAAGAACAGTGAGCGTCTAGGATATTTCTTGTCACGCTGGATCCTTGTCAACTCAAACTGCGTTATCTTATCGGTAAAAATTCTAGTTCGGGATGACACACTATTATAGGAGTTTTGGGGCATCAATTTCACGAGCTCGAGCCTTACTATGTTTATATTGGAATGTGTTGGAGAAGAGGCGTCACCTGTACACATTTCCTGTGTGTCTTCACCGGCCTCGCCTAGCCAGAGGTGGGCTGTCTTCGCCTGTTTAAATATCACGGTGACTTGAAGCCAAAAATTCAACATTTTCGTTTAACTGTCACGTCTGTGAAGCCAGCGCCAGGTGGTGCTTCAGCGGCTGACAGAAGCCAGATGGTGCTTCAGCAATAAATATATACCTCGGAGTTAGCCAACTGTTATGGGAAGGGAAGAGACCCTCTTGACCCTCTTGGGAGAGGGTCAAGAAGGACCTTGATGAGCCTAACAAACTCTTCCTATCACCACCAACGGACAGTCTCCGGACTCATTAATAAGTGATGTCCCGTCGTGGAGTCCGGACCTTCGGCCTTGACCCTCCAGTGCTGGAGGGACTGTTGTGACTCTCTCGCCAGTCATAACTAGAGTTCGATGTCTTGAAGCCGAAATCGAAAGTCCGGACCTGAATGACCCACTGAGGACAAGAGCTTCCGAGAGATGGACTAAGATACTTTGCAGGTAGCTGACATTTCCCCTCGAAGGATTCAATCACTATAGGCTAACCGGTTTACTTCTCGTTCCTGTACACTCTCCTTCGGCCTTTTCACAACATTGTCTTTCTGTGGTGGGGAATTGTGTGTTGCGACGACCAGGAGGACGGTTGAGAGAGGCTTGTGAGCGGCTACTGTGGCCAGGAGATAGAAGGCCCATATTATGCTCTGGGGGATATGCCCTGTGGGACTGCTGGCCATAGAACATGTGTTCATTCAGTTTAACTTCTGGTGGGAACTGAGCCAAGACTGTGTACGTGACGCAAGGATGAGGAGGAGGACGCTGTGTCAATATGTCGCCAAGGTTCTCCATGCACCCACACTAATGGTTTAGCAATCAATTCTTCTGTCTTTTAATTTGGGCTTTAGCTTCTTTTCTTATAGCCTTTTTTTTCTTTTTATTCTTCTACCATGCTCTTCCCAACCATCATCTCTCACACACACACACACACACACACACACACACACACACACACACACACACACACACACACACACACACACACACACACACACACACACACTCTCTCACTCTCTCTGTCTCTCTCTCTAATATCAGAGATATTAGAAAGAACTTTTTTAGTGTCAGAGTAGTTAACAGGTGGAATGCATTAGGGAGTGATGTGGTGGAGGCTGACTCCATACACAGCTTCAAATGTAGATATGATAGAGCCCAGTAGGCTCAGGAATCTGTACACCTGTTGATTGACAGTTAAGATGCGGGACCAAAGAGCAAGAGCTCAACCCCCCGCAAGCACAGATAGGTGAGTACACACACACACACACACACACACACACACACACACACACACACACACACACACACACACACACACAAGCAGCAGCTGGCAAAGATCAGCAGGAACACACAGGAACACCGCTGGGGTGGTTCCTGCTCTCCCTGTCCTCTTCACAGCATCTGAGAAGCCCTCCCGGTAGTCTAGGAGAATAATATATGTGGACAGTAATGGCCAAAGTTACTTTAAGATCAGGCGACGGTGCTCTTCTGTATCGCCCGCTCATGGCTCCCACTCGCAGAGGAGTTATGTTTATGTATATTACATTATGTCTTGAAAGAGCAGGAGGAGGATGTTCTACTTATTTGGTTATATTTAATGTGTGTGTGTGTGTGTGTGTGTGTGTGAGTGCGCGCGCGCTACCGATTTTGCGTGCGCGTTTGCTACCGCAAACTTCTAAGACTAAGAATATGTGATTCATCCTCACCCGAGGCTTAAGTCCCATTTACATGTCTAAAAGAATATTTCCTGCTATTCTTCTACGTGTTTAATCATTCTTTACGACCAATCCCGAGGGTTTATGCCTAATCGTTTGTCACCATTGTCACTATATGCGTTGTCACCTGAGAAGATGTTCAACAGTATTAAAAACAAACTTTTTTTGGTACACATAAACTAATTAACATATGGATTACAATATCCGTGAGTGGTACATATTGGTAAATTATAGCGTAGCAGTCATAACAGCTGGTGCAGTGGTAACAGCAGCTGGTGCAGTGGTAAGAGCAGCTGCTGCAGTGGTAACAGCAGCTGCTGTATTGGTAATAGCAGCTGCTGTATTGGTAATAGCAGCTGCTGCAGTGGTAATAGCAGCTGCTGCAGTGGTAACAGCAGCTGCTGTATTGTTAACAGCAGCTGCTGCATTGGTAATAGCAGCTGCTGCAGTGGTAATAGCAGCTGCTGCATTGGTAATAGCAGCTGCTGCAGTGGTAACAGCAGCTGCTGTATTGTTAACAGCAGCTGCTGCATTGGTAATAGCAGCTGCTGCATTGGTAATAGCAGCTGCTGCAGTGGTAACAGCAGCTGCTGTATTGTTAACAGCAGCTGCTGCATTGGTAATAGCAGCTGCTGCAGTGGAAACAGCAGCTGCTGCAGTGTAACAACAGCAACTGCAGTGTAACAGCAGCTGCAGTAATAGCAGCTGCTGCAGTGGTAACAGCAGCAGCTGCAGTGGTAACAGCAGCAGAAGTGTGACAATAACATCATTAGCGCTGGCCTGTGTGACAGTAATCCCTTAATAATTGATAAATGTACAAACATATTTATATTTTTTATATATATTTATATTTAAATATTTATATTTATGTTTATTGTATTTATATAAACATTTATGTATATTTATAATTGTTATATTTAACATAGAGCATAAAATTAGTAGATATATTAAATAACAAACATTCATAACATTTCTTTTATAGACAAAAAAGTATACAAAGTTTTAATTGTATGAAATATATTGTTTTTCTTTACCTAATCCTTGACCGGTGTTATATATACCAGTGAAAACTATATACTATTATAATTTAGCATATAATTTTCGCCTCTCACTCCTCACATTCTCCTTCCTGGGCTGTTCTCTCTCCCTCTCCTCTCCCTCATGTGTCTCTCTCTCCTCTCTCCCTCATCTCTCCCTCTCCTGTCCCTCCGACCTGCCAGGGTAGGCGAAAGCACCCGTCCCGGTATAAGATCATGGCCAATGTGTGTGATCCTCCTTCTATGAGCATCGATGCGGCATCCGCTACCACTTAATATCCTCCTCCTCCGCCTTAATCCTATTTACAGCCTGATATCCGAGACTCCGCTGTCACTGCGGCGGCGGCGGACTGAAATATCCCAGCTCTTTATGCTTCTTCCGCCTGTTACCGAGCCACAAAAGTCATTTTTATATTTTCATCGGTATTCTTGTCAAGATTTGCGTGGTAAGGGCGCGCTAGGGAGCCATATAGTGACTAGTTCCTGATGAGTTGCGTTGGCGAAGGTGTTACACGGCTGTGAAACTTGACGACGGTATTTCAGTCTATAATTTGTTGTGGTATCTTGTGTTGAGATGTGATCTGCGTTGTTATGGGCAAGGAGGAAGACAGGCCGGCGGGTGTTGACACTCTTGTGTTGGAAGATATACATCTGCATGATCTTGACGGTCTGTGGCTGTCGGGAATGTGTATCTGTCCGAAAATTTCATCTGCATTTTAACTGGCAGTCATTTGCTTTATTGCTACATAAAGAAAATTACGTGGCGGCTGCTTCTTGACAGTTCTGTAAGGAAAAAGGCGACTCTTGGCGCGGGGCGCTTGTGTCGTACATAAACAGGGAGAGTTCCGTTTCCTTTGCCCCCTTTCCCTTTGATCCAACACTTCCAGGCAACTCCTGCTACTCGTGCATGGGTACCCCCCATTCCCCCGACTCCCCCCCCCCTCTGTCCTCTCCTTCTAGTCACCACAAGATGCCCAATCGCTTCGTGCAGAACTGGCGTGAGTATGTTTCAAGTGGTTGGGCACCGTTCTTTCTCTCCGTCCTCGTATCCAAATTCTAGAGAGAGAGAGAGAGAGAGAGAGAGAGATCTTCATATCTCGTCCAAGTGTTATATAGTCATAAGGGCTTTTATAGTCACAGCGTTCTATAGGAATTACATAGGAATGCAGTATTCATGAGAGAATTGCATAGGAATGCAGTATTCATGAGAGAATTGCATAGGAATGCAGTATTCATGAGAGAATTGCATAGGAATGCAGTATTCATGAGAGAATTGCATAGGAATGCAGTATTCATGAGAGAATTGCATAGGAATGCAGTATTCATGAGAGAATTGCATAGGAATGCAGTATTCATGAGAGAATTACATAGGAATACAGTATTCATGAGAGATGTTCTCTGCCTTACTTCAGCTTCACTTAGAATGATACATTTTCGCCACGATTAACTTTTTTTAGTGAAAGTTTTGTACAATGTGAACTAAATCCAGCATTTTTTCTTCTTAAAAATATAAAACCGGAATTATAGTGTTTACTTGACAATATTTACAACAGAAAACAGGATTCAGGTATTTCCTTTGTTATGTTCGGAAGAGACAACGGAAAGTTTATATAATCTGACAATTTACGTCTTATTCTTTATGTCTGTATAATACTCTAGGGTTTGTGGCGGTCCGGTTTTCTGTGGATAGGGCCACACTCCTTGCTTGGCTTGGTCTCTCTTCTCTGGCTCTGTGAATCTCGTTGTTCTCTCTGGTCGGTCTATTTTGGTCTCTCTCTCTCTCTCTCTCTCTCTCTCTCTCTCTCTCTCTCTCTCTCTCTCTCTCTCTCTCTCTCTCTCTCTCTCTCTCTCTCTCTCTCTCATATGTACGTATATCACGTATCGTTCCTCATACTTGTGTGACGTATCATGCTTGTGTAGCATGCTGTAGCAACATGCCTTGTGACGTCACTGTCCCCTACGATGGGTAATCAAAACATGAACAATTTCTGTCTACCGAAATCCCTCCTTATCTTCGTCTCTCTCTCTCTCTCTCCCTTCCTCCTCTTCCTCTTCACCTTTCTCCCTCCCTCTCTCCGTTACCCAAGTGTTCCCTCCATCACCCTGGCCCCCTCCCTTAACGCCCGGCCTCGTTCCCTACCCCCTTACCCTCACCGCCAACCAGGGGTGAGAGGGGACAGTGGTGGACGGCCCCTCATACCCAGTTGACCTGTTGTGTGGTTGAGTGAAGCTGCAGAATCAGAAACTTTATTCGTCACTATACGTACAGTAAATAAACCATTACATCATGGCTGAGTAAACAGCTGTCCAGATCACACATATTTTTGGCATAAAGGGACTGACATTCAATGTATAATTTGAAAGGAATATATATTGGGAAAATATTGTTTACCATTAGGCCGGTAAGACAAATTGGGACAATTTATGCCAAAATATAAGTATGATAATTTGAAGGAAGACTAGTGCTAATTATGCTATGAAGTTAGCAAGTTTGTTTGGCCTGGTCGACGACCGGGCCGCGGGGACACTAAGCCCCGGAAGCACCTCAAGATCCGCGAAGTTATTGAAATGTGAACATCTTCAGCTTTCTTTATCAGGAGATTCTGAGACTCTCGAGATCTGACTCCAGTAGACCTTAAAAGGCCTGTCAATAAACCATCATTTTATGACAGTTGTTTCTTCATTATTGCATATATCCAGTTGCGGTTATCTTGAGATGACTTCGGGGCTTTAGTGTCCCCGCGGCCCGGTTCTCGACCAGGCCTCCACCCCCAGGATGCAGCCCGTGACAGCTGACTAACTCCCAGGTATCTATTTTGCTGGTGGGTAACAGGGGTATAGGGTGAAAGAAACTCTGCCCATTGTTTCTCGCCGGCGCCCGGGATCGAACCCGGGACCACAGGATCACAAGTCCAGCGTGCTGTCCGCTCGGCCGACCGGCGGTCGACCGAGGTCTCGTGGCTCCCTCTACTGGGGAGTTGTATTAATGTATCCTGTGTTCCTGATACACTATTGTATACGACATTCACTCTCAAGTTGTATTTCTTATCAATTAAGTTTATATTTCTTGAAAAGTTAGTAGCCAGTGATAAGTGACTGCCAGAAAAAAAGTAGAATTTGCCTGATGGGTGATATCTTTCAGACAAAAGGATATCATCAGTTTTTAATTATTTCTTCAAGTGTAGGTGTGGACATCAGGCCAGGTAGGAGATTGGAGTGCGAGGATGTACATCCAGGATACGTCTTAAACATTGCCTCCATACACAATTAAGCTTAAGAAGGTTAGCATCTTGTAGGTCCCATATTTCACATCCGTACAAACTTTTGACATTGATTGATGAAGATTAAGCCACCCACAAGGTGGCACGGGCATGAATAGCCCGTAATTGGTGGCCCTTTGGAGCCATTACCAGTATCAAGAGCTGATACTGGAGATCTGTGGAGGTGCGACTGCACCCTGCGTGACGGGAGATGTCTCCCGTCCTTTTGACATTGATTGTCAAACAATTTTATTTCCGACCAGCTGGGGGAGGAGAGGTGCAGCAGCGGAGGCCCACACGTCAAGCCTCGTCATCGCCTGAGAGGAGACACGCCACCGCTATAGTAAACTTTCCCCTCGGACATTTCCATATGGAAGACGGCCCGGGTACACAAGAGATCCAGCCGCTGCATTCCGACGACCACCTCCACCTCCCGTACACGTCGACAACCATCATCGTCACCCACTATCCCCTCCACAACCTCCTCCCGTGACATCAACAGCCTAACTCGTGACGGCCAGCATCCTCGCATCACGCCACACTCCAACCTAAGGCGGAACAAGTAATGCGGACTGGGGGAGAGATACCGTGAAGAGTGTATGGAGCAGTATGGAGCAGTTGGAGGACTCCTCCAACTTATCCGGAGCACCCCAGGGCTGAGGTAAACAGCACTCGGGGCCGGAAAACCCCACTCCCGGCTCCAGTCTGGCAAAGGCAGACGGGACTGGTAAAGGAGGACAGTGTGCGTGTGTGTGTGTGTGAGGAATATGGAAATGGTGTTGTGGTCCTGTAGCGGAATACCGTCAAAACTGGTTACTTGCATCACGCACAACGTGCCACAGGCACTCAAAGTGCCGTCGCTTGCAAATTACCTGAAGCACTGACCACAGGGCTGTGACTGGAAGATCTGTATATTTTTGGGTTTGTGGGTTTGTGTGGAGTGGGCCTCGAATGTTGTTGTTGTTGTGTGTGTTTGTGTCATGTGGCATTATGTATCGTGTCTGGTTGTGTGTGTGTGCTAGTGTGTAAGTTTAGTGATTATTTGTAGCTGGTGTGTGTGTATTGTGGTGAGTGTGTATAGCACAAGGTTGTGTGGGTGTGTGTGTGTGTGTGTGTGTGTGTGTGTGTGTGTGTGTGTGTGTGTGTGTGTGTGTGTGTGTGGTTGTGTTTGTTGCGTGTGGTTGTGTGTTGTTGCGTTTGGTTGCGTGTGGTTGTGTGTGGTTGCGTGTGGTTGTGTGTGATAATTTAGTAATGTGCAGAATAGTTTTCGGAAAGCTGTAATAAATATATAGATACACTCTGGGTATTCAAGGATCGTCTCTCAAGTAGGCCTAGTTGGCCTAATTGGTCTTAAAAATCACAACTCGAGCGACGCTTCACTCCCAGCCAAAAGTTTCAATACACTTAGACCAGCCTAACCTAAGCCTATGACCCAACTAAACACCCAAATTCTAACATATGCCTATTTTCAACAGCGTTTTTT